CAACCTCAACTTCCCTAAAACTCCTATTGTCACGCCCTAAACCCAAGGACGGAGATACTTCCTGCAGGAATACACCCTAATCCTGGATCCACCCTGGTGATTGAGCAGGGTCACCTTTCTCAAACACACAAGCAAGGTCGCAGCAAATTTCCAAGGCAAGTCCATTTAACATGGGGTACACTGGCAAGGATTACGATGCGTCATACCTACTTGGTAATGGCTCTCAGCATAAATCAATGACCTTTAAGGAAAGAAAATTACTTCTATAATGTGGTTTAACCTTGTCCAATCAGTTGAAGGCCTGGGTAGAACAAAGGTTTGACCTCTTCTTCACAAGAGGAATTCTGTAGCAAACAGACAGTATTGAACTATATGCAGCTCATCACTGGGTCTCCAGCTTGCTGAGACATACTGAAAATTTTGGACTTGACAGACTATATAATGTAATGCCTTAAATCTGTTTAAACACACACACACACACACACACACACACACACACACACACACTCACAGTATTGTTTCTGTTTCTCTACAGAATACTGCCTACTACAACTGGGCACCTATATGCTTTCCTAATCTCACGTCCAGCCCTGACCCCTATGCCTGACATTTCTTCTAATCATGCTATTTTGAAGGTCTGTATATACTAAATCGTCTTCTTAAAAACGGAGTGAGTACTCACGATGGTAGCACACATTCTAAAATTGGAATGATACAGAGAAGATTAGCATGGACCCTGCACAAGGTTGACATCCAAATTCGTGAGTGTTCCACATTTTTTTATTCTTTTATTTTTTAGGACTACTTTAATAAATTTAATCTCATTTCTGGACCATTTTTGAGATTTACTAGTGAAAACTAAAATAGATTTTTCTCCCTTATTTTCATCAACTACTAAAAAACAACAAAGATAGTGATGCAATTTCATAAATGTTCTGAATAGCAGTTGTGAAGTTCCTTGGATTCTAATTTTAAATATTTGACGATTAACATGTACAATCAAATATTTTGTTTAAAAAAAAAACAGTGACTACATATGTTATGTAGTTAACTGTTCTGATAGTTTTTATTCAGTACTTGGCCTAGTCATTGAAAATCAAAAATGATCACATTTGAAAAATTCATTTGCTCTTATAAATGATTGAGGTTTCTGGTTGCTTTCCTTTTAAATCCAATAGAAGTCAGAATACAAAAAGCACAAAATGGCAGCAGGAAGTAAAGGTGTACTGAAAACAATCTTCAGGGGGGAAACTAACAAACTTATACTCTTATAATATCAGACAATTTCTAATTCCTGTCAACAATCCCCCTCATTTGTCAAGATATCCTTCCGTTCATAGCAAATGCTGTGGAACACATATTACTTGGTAGAACCTATGCCAGAACTGTATATCTGATTGCGGATAAGATTTGGTCATTGATTGCAAGGGGTTTAAAGTCTAGTGGATAAGATAAACCACTATGTCAAGAATAATGACAGAAATCATGAAGTCTTCATAGTTTTACCTACAGAAGAGTTTGCAATTCTTTTAGTAGTGAGTGCTGGATAAATCTACTGAGGGAACAACTGAAGAGGTGTGATGGCCTAAATTCAATCAGCCTTTGCATTATAGGTAACCAGAGATGGCAAGATGAGGATGCTAACCAGAGTGTGGCATACTGAAATAACTTAACTTCTGGAAAATTAAAGGTATTCCAAATTGTATGTTATATTTAAGTTATTATAGAGATATTTCTACTTGATGCAATGATATTTTCACATATGTTAAACCAATAGGCCTGAATGATCTGGCCCTATTTACCTCATTGAAATAAACTCTTTCTGGGGAAGAGAAGATGTAGAAGGGAATAAGGAATGAGTAGTGGTAAGAAAGACACAATCCCATTTTTGATCCATGGATCCTCTATTGTCTTTACAATAAACTGTAACAAAAAAGTCCAAAATACATTCCTTCTTGGACAATAGATTTGATTATTTTAATTTAACTTATTCAACATTTGATGACTAAATTTAAGACTCAGTGAATTATTTATAGGTTTTTAATACATTTTTCAATAAGCACTGAAACATTTAATAATTAGTTTTAAATGTTTAACAAAATAAACTTACCACTTACCAAAAAAAAAAAAAAGTCATTGTTTCCTCAAATTTTAATTTGTATCACTCATTGTGATTTAATTCTTGGTCTAGACAATAAAATGATCTTTTCACAGAATTCCCTATCCAACTCTGCAAAGTTATTAGGACAATTGATAAGTTAACTGTCTGATATGAATCCGGCAGGAAAAAAAAAAAAAAAGATAAAAGTTCATTTGCTTTTCATCTGCTCTCCCGGGCTAGTTTTTTTTTCATTGGTTGGTAAAGGTTTGGGTGAATCACATTAGATTTCATCATGTCATAGTCCAATAAATTTTGTACTCTTTATTTTCTCTCTTCTCACATCTGGTATTTCCTTAGATGTGTTGATGATAAAATAGACAACCTCATCTCAAACCTGGAAGAAATAACAAAAACAAATTTTATTGTTGTGAAAAATTTCAAGTAGGGACATTATTTATGACATATAAGGAGATATAAAATGAATATGGAGAATAATATTTAATTTGTTTTAAACATTCCATCTTATATTTGTTCTGTATTTCAATCTGCTCAAATAAAAACCTGGATTATCATTCTAATTGATGAAATTCACAGACTGATATTTCAGTTACATTTTCACACAAATATCACATTTACTGTAGATATTGAAAAGTGTCAGTCATATGTATTTTCTTGAAGTTGCTTGTTTTAGAGTGTTTAATAAGTTATTTTTTCCAAGAAAAATAAGGTTTGGTGTAATCAACAATTTCAGATAGTAAGACAACATTTTGGGTTTGCATATATATATGCCATTATTATGTACATATATATAACTAGACGGTCATATAATAAATAAGCTCAATATCAGATATTTCAAACAGCCATTAAAAGATAAAAGAGATTTTACAATGTTATATGTTCATATTTTATGTCCAGATTTCAACAAGAATGCTAATTTTAAAAGACTTGGTGTCCTATTTGATGTAAATAGTGTTTTTATTCCATTGTTTAGTTGATGTAAATGTTCAGATTTTCTATACTCAAAAGACATCATAAATTACATCATGACTATTTATAAAATAATTTATAGAAATATAACACTGATCTACATGTATTTTATTAAACAATACTCTTACTTTAGCATTGTCTAGTTCAAAGCTACATAATTAAACTTAAATGTCATTCTTTTCAGCAAGATGAATATAGCATTAACAATTAAAATGTTCCCATATCGATTAAGCAATAAAGTTGAACTAAAGCTAAGGTTAAGCTTTTGTTATTTCCTCCAGAGCTTTACATTATTGCCATTAGAACTCCTAATACATTAATGCTTCTTTTTAGAAGCATCATGTAAAATATACTTTCAATTTCGATGTGCAGAATATTCAATCACTTTTCTTAAAATAGTGTAATTAAAATTTTAAATAAAATTATATTGGGACAACTCAAGTAAATACCAAAGAAATGAGTACAAAGGGCAAGGGAAAAACAAATAAACACATGTTTCATAGCACCGAATGTTTCTAAAAGAAAGTAAATAATTTATGTGTCAGAAATAAGCATTTTATTTGTATTATAAATCATTATATCTACCATCTATGCATTTGTAATATGATTTAATTTAAAGGAATGAGACCTAGGTGATCATCAATAGTACCCAAGTACCAAGTGAAAGAGAGATATGATGTTGATGGTGATCTATGGCAAAAGCCTGTATTTTATAGACATAGTAAATATGTAAATTTTATAGTGTTGGTAAAGATGTATAATATGAATGTTGTTATAAAAATATTTCTCTATGTGTTAGTTATGGCACCAGAAAGGCTACCTAGTCCTAATTACCAGGGGATCACAATAGAAGGTGACAATTTCTATATATTTAGTGATTGGCATGGGGAACATTGGCATGGGGAAGACTGACCTAGTGGAGCTTTTCCTGGTTGTGATTCTGATGTCTCTTACCCTTTACTTGGGACAGCAGGTTAGCCCAGATGTTTCTTATTGTAACGAGAATGGTAAAAAAAAAAAAAAAAAAAAAAAAAATTAGGAAAATATTACTTTATGTTTGCAAAAATACCAAATAAGATACACCACCCAATCTAATGGCAAAAATATGTGTGACCAAACACCAAAACAAAGGAGACACGATTTCCATCTTTCATTTGGAAATAAAGGAAAGGGTGAATATTTTTGAAAAATAATATAATTTATCATAATCGCTATTATAGAAGGATTACATATTGGTCTATCACAGAATATAAGTAATTTGATAACTTACACAAAGGTCTACCAAATGATTTTATTGAGAAATGTTCTAATATAATATTTCAGAAAGTTATTAAGTAAAGAGGATTATAAACATAATCTCCAAATATCTGTTCAGCAGGATTTGGGTATGGTGGTGACTTTGCTTCTTTTTCCTTAGTGAGAGTACCAGCTACATAATACATGAAAGTTAAGTAGCTTTATATACTTGTAAGTGCATAGATTGAGGAAAAAAGGAAGAAATCTTATGGCAGATACTGTCCTGAGCCTGCAGTCAATCTGTCTTTTTTCTTTCCATAAGTAACAGTATTCGGTGACTTCCAACAAGCAGGAGAGGGACTTTTGTGGCTAAGTTTTATGCATTATGACTTTTATGACAGATATGCTTTAGAAAATACCAGTGGAAAAGTTTACACCTTTCCATTCGTTAATAATACACTATATCTATTATAAGCTGAAAAAGGGAGAAGCATGATAATTCATTTATCCTTTACATCTCACACCATATTATGAGAATATGTACAGACTTCATAATATCTAGGACAGAGTTGAAGAATCCTGACTTTCAATTTCCTGCACTCATAAAGTAAAATACTGAATTGCCATCTATGCAATTATATAATGTGTAAATGCTACATGCAGGCCATCCAAAAGGACACAAGTTTTACCAGGTTATTCACTGGCAATTTTATGTCTGTGAAAATTCTCTTGTTCATTCCCCTAGAAGTGAAGTAGGAATAAATAATGAGAAAGTTCTCTCTCTTTGCTATCACATTTAGGGAAGCAGTTTATCTAGAAGGCTCATATTTACATCAGTGGGGGGAAAAAAGCAAAGAAATAGTGACTACAATTAAATGACAGCAACAGGAGTCATGCTATACTTTATGCAATTCAGAAACAAGGACACTGATGCCCATCTTCCTCTCATCATTTGACATGGAAAATTCTGAACTTAGTTTCAGCTTCAGAGTTCCCTGATTTGCAGAAACCTCCTTTTAGACTGTACCGCAGCTCAACTTTTCTCTGCTCAATCTTTATTTCTGTCATTTCGCTCACTGGTGTTATCCCAAGAGCAATTCTTAATGAACCTCTTATACACAGATCTTTATCTCAGAGTCTGTTCCTTGGAATATCCAAAGACTGATGGAAGTTGAATCTAATAGACATTCAGAGCCAACTCACCAATGGGATTGTGGGTTTCTCAAATGAAGTGTCATCAACGGGTGCCACAGAAGTATTTTAAGCAGAAAAATGAAATGAGGATTTTATTATAAGAAGTTATCCTAGAATATTCTTATAAAAATGGATTTGAAAAGGCAGAGAATCAGCAGGTAAGAGCATGGGGCTATTGTAGTCATCCAGATGAGGATAAATGGTAAAAATAGCTGATAGCTAACACATATAAGATACTAAGCATATTATATAAACCACTATTA